TTGGAAGGAAAATATAAGATAGTTTTATATTTGCATGTATATATACAACAGAAACAATGTATATATATATTTGTAAGTGTACATTTTTTTCCAGCTCTGTTCACTGAAAGGATCTATGAGTAATTGAATGCTAACGGCAATAAGCAAACCAAGAGAAAAATTGGTTCATTTTGGTATTGGTTTATGTGTAACATACTTGTAAACATGCTTAATTCTGGAGCACAGAAAAATAAGATGAATCAGGATCATCTCTTTTTGCTCTAAAGTAACAAAGGAGAGAGAATTCTATAATAGTATTGAGGAGCTCCACAGACTCTCTCCCCAGAGAAATATTGGAACAGATGAAAATAGTTTCTTATAAAACCATAACAACCATTTAATATTTCTGGATATTGTTCTAAGGGCATAAAGCAAATGGAAAAACATTCAAGGAAATAAGAAAGCATGGTCTAATGATCTTGAACTAAAACCAACATCTAGTCTTCATCAGAGTATAATGGAAGTTGGTGAATGCAGCTGAGAATACCAGGCCCTCCCTCTGCCATACTCTCATCATGTATTGCAGTGTCTCCCCAGGTTGGGTGGGCTATCGTAATTTCTCATCCCCTCCAGCTAGCTCAGAGGTTGAAGTTCCATGCTGAAAAAAAAAAAAAAAAACAAGAAAGGACAAGATACTGCAATTGCCCAGTATCTTGGTTACAAGGGGGGAGTCTAAGCCCAAGGTAAGTGGTTTTTACTCCCATCAGTGGCAAGTGCTGCATAGGGGTTTTGTTCTATAAGAATAGATTCATAGTTGGCCCTGGGATAACTAACTCTGTTTGGAACAGAATGTGAAGACAAGTGGGACCATACAAAAATAAAGAGCTTTTACACATGAAAGAGAACAGTACACAAAAGAAAAGGCAACCCATACAGTGGGAGAAAATATTTGCAAACCATATATCTGATAAAAGGTTAATATTCAAAATATATCGGTTGTTCTCAAAAACAGTAGATATATTTTTTTCTTGGTAAGCAATTAAGAGGATGCTGTAGTTTTACAAGAACAACAGGCTAACCATAGTCCAGCTAGAGATTAACCAAGGAAAACAGAGCAATAGATAACCAAAATGAGCACTCTTGGTGTCAAAGCAAGTCTGAAAAAATGGTGTAAAGATGACTGTTTCAAATTTAATTGGATCAGATGGTGGAGATATTTATAACACAGGACTTTACTGTGACCTAGACCAAATTTAAATTTTTGCTATATTTACTATTCTAAGTTCAAAATTTTGTTTTTAAAACTCTCAAGAAATATTTTACCTTCTTATTTTCTTACAAGTACTGTTGCTATTGAGAAGTTTAGAATCAACCTGATTTTTCTTGGCAGATGATGTTCCTTTTTCTCTGGAAATTTTACCTTGCTATTTTAAAAATTTCTCTATATTTACCTCGACTTGTAATTTTCATTTTTCTTACTTGAGAGGCAATCTACAAGTATTTTTTTTGTTCTTAAATGGGATGTTTTTACATGTCATCTATTCCTAACAAAATGGTGAACTAATATAACTGACTTTAGTTGTGTGTGTGTGTGTGTTTGTGTGTGTGTGTGTGTGTGTGTATGTGTGTGTATCTGTGAAATTCCCATCTATCAGTTCTTCAAATTTCCTTTTTTCCAAGTTTATGTTTCTTCCCTTCTGGGGATCCTGATAAGTAGATGCTATCTCTATGTTCTTTAGCACTTCATTGATATTTTCTACCTCTATTATTTCTCTGGCCTTCTTCATGCACCAATTTGTTCTTTAGCCTATCTATTGTACCTTTTTTCACTGTTTAGCTTCTCAACTTAGTAATCTTTGTATTTCCCTGAGTCACAACATAGAAAGTAGTGTAGGTTGCTGCCACAAATTTCTGTAGCTATAGCACAAGTAATAAAATGAATTAGGGAAATGCAAGATCAGAACTTTCATTGTCTTTCCCTACAGCCCTCTTCTGAGCTTGATGCCCTCCTTCAACCCAGCCACACTCTCTGCTCTCTCACTTGCCAGGTTAAAGTAGGCTTCAGTCCACCCAAGGAGAGACTCGTCCTGATAGGCCTTGGATACCTATTCCCATATCACTACTATTTCTCTAGAGTTGATTTTGGGAGTGGTCAGCCCCTGTTAGTTTAGCATTTTGTAAGAAATAGGGAGGCATGGCATATAAAACACTCTATCCAATTTAAGAAGATATGTTTAGATATCTTCTTCAATCTTTATATCTTTATATATCTCACACACATATAGAGAATATGCTAGAAGTTGTTGTCATTTTGTGAGCCAAACTACATGAAATGTTATTATTATATCAAATTAAAATTTCTCAAGTTAAATGCCCCTTTATCTCTATGATTGATCAATGATGAAATTACTAGTTTAAGAAATTCTATAGGTGCTATGGATCTTTCAAAGCACTCAAAAACATACCTCACAGTTACCCCACAATTTTCTGCCAAATAGAGATCAGCAAGGCCTCTTGCATTACTGTTAATCAGATATGACCAAAGGTGCAGGATGTTTTTCTGCTCATCATTAGACACATTTGCATTTATGACCATAGTGGTATATAACAGGAAGGAAAATCTTACTATATCAAAAGAAACACCAGCAGTTACTTTTGCATTCAGGAAAAGGGGGTGGGTTGTGGGTAGTAGTAGCAAAAGTTAGTGCTGTATGTTTGTTGTATTACAGTACCTCAGTCAGTGTCCAATTTTTATAATTAGATTTAAATTCCTTTCCTGAAGTCTGCTATGTGAGCATGGTGCTTGTTAGCACCCACAAACTAGACTTATCTGCTAAACTACTGTTGTGTTTCTATATAGAAATTGGGCAGTTCCTCTTGGACCAGTGCAAGGCTGGCCTCAACTCAGATTAGGCAGAATGAGTAAGTCCTGTTTGACAGTTTCAGCTTGTGCACGAGACCTCAGCTATGAGAATCAGAAAATCAGACTGGTAATGACTACTGGGAACATAACACTTTCCTGTGATTTCCTGCCCATGAGCAAATCTTACCATTCTAAGTAGACAAAATTCTTCTGCTTTGCCTCTATTTGAAAAAAGTGTGTTTTAATGGATTATTCTCCTGTTACCTCTCCATACACCTGAGGATGGAGGGTCAGTTTCAAGAGGCTTATGTAAGCCATTTCAAAATTTGTAAAAGAAAGGAATTAGAAAAGGCCAATAGAGAGAGTGGACTAAGTAATGGTCAAAGAGTGAACATAGAAAGAGATCCAAAGAGAAATTCTCTTGGGTGAAAGGCTGAAGTATAACAATAGTGGGATATTAAGATTAGGTTGATTTGCTAAGATCCATGTCTTTACTCTTAGCTCTCCTTTAACACAAAACATCAGTAAAGGTGGGTTATGTAAAGAAAGCTTTTTTTTAAAAATATTTTTTTAAATTGTAGATGGACACAATATCTTTATTTATTTTGTGGTGCTGAGGATCAAACCTAATGCCTCACACATGTGAGACAAGCACTCAACCACTGAGCTACCACCTCAGCCCCCAAAAGCTTTTAAGAATAATATTTTAGAGAAGGGAGAAACAGTAAAATGTTCATATATTAGGTAAAACTTGGCAGGGAAACGATAGGAGGAATAGAGAGAAAAGGCAGAAACAGACTAAAAATTCAAGTGGTTAGCTCGCCTAGCATGCGTGAGGCACTGGGTTCAATCCTCAGCACTACATAAATATAAAATAAAGATATTAAAAAAATTCAAGTGGTTAGAAGCATGATAATTCAAACACATCTAAGAGCTGTTAGAAATATTCTAGAGTGTATATAGGGATAGTGATTCATCTTCTTGTTATCTGCAGCTGATGCCCAGAAAATGGTTGACTCTGATAATTTTCCTGTGAAGCTTAGGAAGTCTGACCCTACTCTGCACAGTGTACTACTCTGTCCTATTGACAGCAGGACAGAAATAACCTCATTCCCCTTCCCTTCCCCAACAGGCATATGTTGGGAAGTGGGGATAAAATTAAATAAGTACTTTTAGCATTTAAAACTTATCATTTGACTTTTCTGTACCTCTGGCTTGAACCTAGAGGATTACTTCACTTTCTTCAAAATACATAATTTGAGGAATATAGAATAATTTAGAGAGAGTATTACTTCTTACAATAAAACTATTTCCCAAGATGTCATACATCAGTATCTTCTAGGATATGAGTGGAGATGAATATCCACATTCATCCTGGTTACAACATGCTGAGGAAACAAGAACAGTCGAGAGCCCAACAGAACATCACTAACTCCAACTGTAATCCACTGCTAGGACTACTGTTACCTATCAAGAAAGAGGTGAGTTTATCATCTTTTCTCATAGAGAAAGTAAACAGGGAAGCAAAAATTGTTTCTCCAGCTAAAACCCAACCTTGCTATGGGTTCACTTGAATTTGTTTACATTTTTTGATATCAATATAGGGAAGGGGAATAGCTCAGCAGCAGATGATTGCTTAGCCTGTGCAAGGCTAGGGGTTCATTCTCAACACAGAAAAGATAAATAATAAAAATAAAATGGAAATCAGTATAGTTGAGAATATATGAAGGTCTTCAGTGAAAACTCTTAAGAGACAAATGTTCATTATCCATTGGCAGATATGAGGTGCTAAACCCAATAACTCCACCATGAAAAGGCAGAAATGTGCTTAGAAATACATTGGGAAATTTATTTATTTTATATATATATATATAAATATTTATAAATGTCTTTATATTTAAAATATATAAATTTATTTACTTATAAAGAATCTTCACAGCTAACATTTCAAGTTAACAACTTAAAAACATTCTGTTTATACCTGAGTCTTGTATCTTCCTGTTCCAATTTATGTTTCTGAGAAGATTTTAGATTTCCAATATTTTCGGTTAGTTTATTTTTACAGGAGATTCTGTTACACCTGCATCTGCCTTCATGAAACCAAATTCTAGTCACGATGGGGGGGGGGAACAAAATTATGCAAGAAAAGATGATGTAATAGCATAGAACATTTCTGGAATATTCAGGTGTTTTTATTGTGACATCATCTGTGGGGAGAGAAATCTCAGCTCTGGAGCGGCAGTTGGCATCTTACTCAGTCTGAGCACAGGTCACTGGTCTAGGATTTCACCCAGGAGAAAACAAACATCTCTGCATTATAGTAGCCATGTTCTGAATTCTATGAAAGAAATTTGTGATGACATTTCTAGATGTTCACAAAGATTTCTCAGTTACACAGAACTGGTCTAAAAGGACCAAAGAATTTATGATTGGTAAACATATAAAAATGGACACAAGTCAGCATTATCCTATCTGGACACATACTGTGATGGATTCTGAACCTCTACCCTGGACCACAATGTAACTGTGTCAATACAGGTACATTGGGATTTGGTATGGCATTCCACAGGCTCTGTTAACATCCTCACATATGGGGTCCACTTCATCACATCTGAGGTCTGCTTCATTCAGGAGTTTCTTCTCCTCTGAGAATTTGAAAAAAAACAGAGATAGCAAATTTAGGGTCTGGTTATAGTTATGACCCAGAGACAAAGCTCTCTAGAGTCATCAGAATCAAGGGCAAGGTAAAAGCACAGCTACCTAGGGATACAGATTGAGATAATTTCTACCAAACTTTAGATGCATAGGACAATACCAACTATTGATCAAGAAGTCTGTAAAGAGCTGTTTCTGTCTGTACAATTAGGGAAATGGAATCAGAGAAAGGAATTGTGAACAATGTAGTTTTCCCCTGACAAAATCTTAAGGAAATTGATTGCAGGAAGGTTAGCTCCATTACTGTCTCTTCCTTAAGGGCACAAAGTGACAAAATCTTGGCTTCCCAAATGCCTACAGGGATAGTTCTAGCTTTTCCTGAAAGTGCTCAAATGGATACTGCTGCTATGATTTTTATCTTCACAGGGGACAACACCACCTTGACATAGGGCTGTGGTTTATTGGTCTTCCAGCTCTGAAATTCTGTGGATCAGGTGTGGCTTCATGGGCACTGTGACCTAAGCAATTGTACAATGCCCCCTGCTTAGAAGGTCTGGTCCTGCGGGAACTGTTCCAGACCCGCTTCAAAGTTTTAATAATTTTTGAGCATTTTCATTTTGCATCAAGCTCTGAAAATTATGTAACCCATACTTCTATGAGACTTAAAGAACTTTGGAGTAATTCCCTTGCCCCAAACCTGCCCCGCTGCAAAGAATACACACTTACCAAGGTAATCTTAATATATTAATAACTATATAGTACCATAATACTTTGTAAGTGATTTGTCTTTTTAATGGTATTTCTCACTTTGTTTTTTACATTCTGAATTGGCCCCAAAATAGCATAATCCATGTGATGGGTGTAACTGGGTGGGAAGATATGATTTTAGTATCAAAAAAATGCATAGGTGGATGTAACTGTAGGAGGATGCCTTTCTCAATCTCGAATTTCTTCCTATTCTCCCCAAAGGTGTCAATAAATAACACATATGACTTGGGAAGGTGATCCTGTTAAATTAAGAATCATGAACCCACCCGTATCTTGCCTTTGCTGGGAGGATTGGCAATTAATGGCTCAATCTCATCTTCCCAGGAAATAAGTCTAGGCTCCTGGATACTGAACCTGCTTTTTACCTGTGTAGGAGGAACTGTCCTCTTGGGTACACTGAGGCCCAGGACATAATTAAAATACAGAGCTGCTAGTTGAAAAACTAAGAATTTCATGATGATGACAGGTGATCTAGAAACCAAGCACTACGGCATGCTGTCACTAGATCACATTTCTCTGAAAGTGGCCCTGGGTGTATCCATCTCATCCATTTCACATATAAAGCTCAGAAGAATTGAAGGTCTTTCATTTTTGTAATTATGTTTTCTAGTTTTTTTTTGATCTGTCCTCTGAGAGGAGAAAAGGGTCCCTGGTGGAAAGCATGGAAATGGGGTGAAACATTTGGATCTAAAAGTGATTTCTGTGTGACTCTGAGAAGTCCCTTTACCCACTTTCAGTGACTTCATGTGTGCCAAACTATTTAGCTATGCAAGCCCAGTGATCCCTTCAAGTACTGATAATCTCAACATCTGAAATTAAAGATAATCTAAATTATTGGTAGATATGAAAACTTCAAAATTTTAAACAAAATGTTCACCAAATCCTGTATCTTTAAAAAAATGATATTCAAAAAATTCTCCCACTCTAAAATTTTGTGACAATTTTTTTTGTCAAACCAGATGTTTTGTTTGGGAACATAGACACATTATTTCCACATGAGCACATATCTGAAACTATTTGAGCAGTTAAGGATATGAAGAGCCCAGACCATTTCTTCTTCTCTGGAGTCAAAAGGCAGGCACAGATCTCTATGTCTGTCTGTCTGTCTGTCTGTATCTCTCTCTCTCTCTCTCTCTCTCTCTCTCTCTCTCTCATACACACACATACAGTTTAAACCAACTGGAGAAATGCCCATTCATTACTTGAAGAATGGTCACCCAGGAGACAGACTCTCCCTCTCAGAACATGGAGGTTCAAATTCTCAAAGCTCTATTCCTTTCAGTGTCTCTTTTACATTTAGCCATATCCTATCTCTGTTCTTATTCCCAAGAGTGGATTTGTCCACATTGCATAGGACATTTCCACAAATAACAATCTCCACACTCCCATTGCCAGTGGCAGCTTGGCCACTGCATCATCAGACAGTAACAAACATTCCAGGATAGACATGAGCAGAGAATTTCACACACGTGGAAATGAGACAGATTTTCAGAACAAAAACTCAGCCTTGAAATATTTTCTTTCCAAAGAGAAGACTCAATGTCCATAGAAAGATCTATGGTATCTTGAGACTAGAAAGTCACTTCTGAAGTGGGATTTAGGAATGCCATGTGCAGATACTGGGCACACAGATCCTGTGAATCACCCCAGATGATGGCTGTCAGAGAGAGAAAGCATGCTAGGGAGGGCAAGGAATATCCACCTGATTGCCAGCTCTTTCTCCTCCCAGGTCTCATGTCATAATGGATGACCTCACATAATGCTGCACAGAGAAAATATTCATATGGAATCAAAATTGAGACCAAGTCACTTTCTGAAACACCTTCATATAGACCACACGAGGACTGTGGTGTTGCTCTCAGAGCATCAGAGGCCACTCTGTTTTTATGGTTTATGTGCATACTGAAAATTCCTGGCCAAGTCCTAACCTATTCCAGTCCTAACCTAGTTTCGGTTCTCAGGCTGCCTGCTGAACTTACTGTCATCATACATGACTCCATCTTTCCTTGGCACTTCTAATCCAAAGTCCCTGAGGCATGGAGTTCAGAGAAAAACAAACATTTCCCAGAAACGTAGTGAGGATAGGATGCAGATTCAGTAGGCTCATCACAGTGGATCTCTTCTTACCCATGGTCTACTGCTCTCCTTATCCCAAACTCTTGGTGTTCTTCAGTGCCTACCTTGATAATTTTTCTTTCTGAACTGATGAATCAGCAGGAAAATGAAAAAAAGGAAGAGGAAAGGTCCAAGGATACAACCGTATACAATTGATATAAAGACGATCCCAGGGATAGGATTTGTGTGGATCATTTGCAAAACCATATTTTGACAATGGGAAGAACATGGAGAATCTAGCCCCTTGCTGTTACCTGTTGGTGCTCAAGCTGGTGAGGTCACAGCTTCAGGAACAATGGGAGATTGTGAGAACCCTGAGAGAACTGGATCTCAGTTCCATCTCATGCTGTCCTAGGTGTTTAATAAGAGAATGCTCATGAATACCTGGAGGCTTCATAGTTGTCACAAAGTTGCAGGTTCAGAGGCACAAATCCAGCATCTTCCCTCATCTGAGCAGGGAAGGAGAAAGCTCAGAGCAATGCATGGTAAGTGATCTGTCTCCCCAGCTGTTCTGTACTAAGTCAATCCAAGGAAGGGAACGTTTTTCTTAGGAGAAACTGCTGATGTTTCATTTTGAAGGACTAAGAGTCCCTGAGCGTATATACAGACTCATATGTTCTTACTGGTTGGAAACACAGCATCATATCATTGTTACTAACTCAGCTTATATATATTGTGCCCCAGAGGACAGACTCCATCCTTGTGGGTATCATCTCTAAGCTGGTGCTTCAGCTTTACCTTCAACAGGCTGTTTTTTATCACTTGGTTAAAACAGCAGATGCTGGGTAGAAGGTAGGATTTGGGTTCCATGATCATAAAACCTCTGCTAAATATCCTTTGCTACAAAGTAGACTCTTGGTCTGAAGCAAAGTGGTATAGGATCCCTTATCAATGGAATACACCCTTAATAAATCTCCTCCAAAAATGCAGTGATGTTGTCTGAACCTTACAGGCAATAAAGGCCAACCTACACATAAATAAGTGCAGGTTTTACTGATACATTGCTGGTGGGACCCCAAATTGGTACAACCACTCTGGAAAGCAGTATGGAGATTACTTAAAAAAAAACTAGGAATGGAACCATCATTTGACCAAGCTATCCCACTCTTCAGTATAGATCCAAAGGATTTTAAATCAGCATACTACAGTGATTCAGCCACATCAATAGCCTATGGAGCCAACCTAGGTGCCCGTCAACAGACGGAAGGATAAAGAAAATGTGGTACATATGTGATGGCAAAACCAGACCTTGTTGTGAAATGAAATTATAAAAAAGGTTATGGTAAGAAACCAATGCCTGGGGAAGGGGTCAGTTCCCCTCCCCTCTCCAGCCTTTCCCCAGGAAGCCTGACTGTGGGTCTCTACCTTTTGGATTGTAGATAACTTACCCTGGGAGTCTGATTACTCTCCTTTGAAGTGTAAATGAACCCATGGAGGCTCCTGAACCAAGGTTAGAGATTTATGGAAGGCCTTGGAGGTGGAGTCAGTTCTTCCCTTTATAGCACTTTGCTTCTGTAAACGTGCTTCCTAGTGGAAACCCCATGCACAACTGTATCTCGGTAGACTAGAAAGTTTATGACCCCAGATAGCCCATAAATTATTGTGAGAAACAGTAGAGGGGAGCTCAGAATTTGGAGTTTTGTTTTCCTCTGGGCTCGCTGGAGTAATATAAAGTTTGGAGTTCTCCTTCTCTCTGAGTACCGCTTGCTGCTTCTGAATCAGTCTGTTTCCTGCAACATATATACACAGTGGAATATTAGTCAGACATAAAGAAGAATGACTTTTCAAGTCAATGGGTGGATCTGAAGTCTATCATGCTAAGTAAAATAAGCCAGTTCTAAAAAGCCAAAAGTTCAAATATTTTTGCTGATAGGTGGAAGCTTACCCACA